GTTGTTCCGAGACTTCCTTCTCCGATTACCCGATCACGACTGACTTCTTAGATGGCTATTCCGAGACTGAAGGCTTCTCGTCGAAACTGGGCTTTTATAACCTTGGCCGCTGTTAGACAACGAAGTCTCTGTTATAGCAGTGGAAACATTGCATTGTTGGCTCCGCGTTTCCTATGCAATAACCCATTGTTATAACCATGGAGACTCCTGTTAGAATTACAATGGAGCAATTGTTGTCTCCTCTGTAACAGTCTATTCTAGCGTTTCCATAGCAGTGACTCTTCTGGATTGCAAACACGTTACAATATTCCAATAATAATAATAATCCAATATACTATCTGTCACATGCCTTTAACAATTCATTTCCAAATATAAATCTCAAATTCTCAACAAGGAAGGAAATTGAAAACATTATTAAATCCCTTAAGCCCAAAAATTCACATGGATATGATGAAATCTCTACCAAATTACTTAAAGCAAGCTCTGTTTACATCAGTTCACCCTTGAATCATCTATGTAATAAATCTTTATCATCAGGTACTTTTCCTCAACGCTTAAAATACGCTGTAATGAAACCACTTTTTAAAAAAGGAGAGAGAAAATGCATCTCTAATTACAGACCAATATCCATATTGACTTCATTCTCAAAAGTCTTTGAAAAAGTTATGTATAATAGACTACTTGAACACTTAAATTCTAACAACATATTAGTCAAAGAGCAATTTGGATTTAGGAAAGACCTAACAACAGAAAAAGCAACCTATGAACTAACTAACGATATTTTAAGTGCTCTCAATGACAGATTAATTGTGGGAGGGATTTTCTGTGATCTAGCAAAAGCTTTCGATTGTGTTAATCATGATATCTTACTATCGAAATTAAATTTCTATGGAATAACTGGCAAAGCTAATGAATGGATCAAATCATACCTCAAAAACAGGTATCAAAGAGTTGAAATAAATAATAAAAACTCCAGTCATAATGCATTTTCAAACTGGGGAATTATAAAGCACGGTGTTCCACAAGGATCAATTTTAGGTCCCTTACTTTTTCTTCTCTACATAAATGATCTATCTAAAACCATCAACAATAAATCTAAACCAATTCTATATGCAGATGACACTAGTATAATATTTAAGAACTCTAAATTTGAAAACTTTAAAAATGACATAAATATTGTATTTGAAGCCTTAAACAGATGGTTCGAAGCCAATTTACTCTCATTAAATTTTGATAAAACCCATTACATATCATTCACAACTAAAAACAACCACCAAATTGATCTGGACATCAGTTATGCCAACAAATTAATCTGTAAAGTACTTGATACAAAATTCCTTGGAATACATGTAGACAGTACACTGTCTTGGAAAATACATATTGAACAAATTATACCTAAATTAAATGCAGCTTGCTATGCGATGAGATCAATTAAGCCTTTTATGTCACAGGAAACATTGAAGATGGTTTACCATGCCTACTTTCATTCTATTATGAACTATGGATTAATATTTTGGGGGAACTCTTCACATAGTGTAATAATTTTTAAAATACAAAAGAATATAATTAGAATCATTACAGGATGTAGAAGTAGAGATTCATGTAGAGAATTATTTAAGAAATTAAAAATTCTACCTCTTCAATCGCAATACATATTATCGCTTCTCTTATTTGTTGTTTACAACAAAGATAAATTCAAATTAAATTCTGATGTCTATAACATGAATACTAGACAAAAATATAATTTCCACCTACCCTCATCAACTTTATCAGTATATGAAAAAGGAGTCTACTTTACTGGCATAAAAGTGTTCAACAATCTGCCACAAAGTATTAAAAACTTGGGTAATGATACTAAAAAGATTAAATCAGAGTTAAAGAATTATCTACATGCTCATTCCTTCTACTCTTTAGATGAATACTTCAATGTAAACAGAGAATGATGTAAAATTAAGTTATATTAATTTTTAAGCTAAAATTGCCTGTACTTATGTATGTAACCTTTTGACTTGTTCTGTATCCAAAGGTACTAACCTGCTTAGGATTCATAGAATGTAAATAAATTCAATTCAATTCAATTCAATTGTACTTTTGACAACAAGATTTCTTGAAGTGCAATGTTTAATATTCTAATTTCGTGCCAACTCCCATTCACAATCATTGGTTTGAAAATATCTTCTCTACCAACTTTGGCATTGAAATCTCCTAACAAAATTTTCATAGGGTACTTTGGGAATTTATCAAATACATTCTAGTTCTTCATGGAACCTGTCCTTTATATTATAAATTTTATCTTCTGTTGAAACATGAACATTCATAACAATGATATCACACCAGCAACCTCTTAATATTATGTATGACATCCTATCACTACGAAACTCTACCCTCTTAACTGCTGATATGATTCTCTTATGTATGAAAAAAACCTGTACTTAATTCATGACTTTCATTCCCCTTTCCATAGAAAAATGTATATTTCCATGCTGATTCAGTGCCACCTCCACCCCATCTGACCTCCTGTACTCTAGCTAAATGTAATTTATATTTTGCGATTTCTTCCACCACTACCCTGAGTGAACCTGCCCTTACTTCTAATATTCCAAGTACCAAATCTCTTATCCATTTTCTTCCACTTAGGTGTTTATCCAAGAAGTTCATCCAGGTCCGAGGCTTCTTGCAAATTTTCATAACAAGCTTATTTTTTAAGGTGAGGAGTTGTTAGCCCGACCTCTGACCCCAAAGCTGGAGGACCACCCATTGTCGGCTGTCCACAACTGCTTATTGCAGCCACCCTCCATACATGGAGGGCATCTCCTCTACCTAGCACCTGAGGATGCGCCATGCTGTGGTGACAAAGGACCCACCTAACATGGTCTTAATGGCATATTCTAAAGGAAAATTGAAAAGCAGTGGCAATAAAGCATCTACTTGTTTCAGGCAATTTTGTATTGAAAACTTGACAGACAAATGTTTACCTATATGGACTTTACTATACATTTCACTTACATACAGTTTAATCAGCTTAACTAGTTTCATGGGTACCTCAAACTCTGTGAGAATATTGTACAATACTTCCCTCCTAACTGAAGCATAGGAATAGATGATGTACTCTCTCATTGTACTCCCACTTTTTACCCCAGCATTTGATGAATGCAAAAAATGTTATCAGTAGCCGATTTATTTCGTTGAAACCCACACTGATGATACCAAATAATTTAATCTATATATGGTTTTAACTTTGAAAGGATATTGGATAGAGTTTTGTATGAAGTTGATAACAGCGATATCCCTCGATAATTACCACTACTGCATGGTATTACATCCCAGATGACAGAACTTTTCATAACCACCACTGTGAGAAACTTATATCCTAAAAAGACTGTTGACTAATAACTAACATCTGTTGGGCCATGTCCAAAATTACAATAATGTTTATCAAGTACCGATCTATGACATAAAATTTTGTCAAAATAATGAATTCATAGTTTTAAAAATTCAAGGTGAAAAAGTATCTTTAATGCAGTAGTGTGAGATATCATTTGACAACATATTTCACAAACTTTAAAATAAGCTGAAGTTCAACTTTATAGGTTAAGTAGAACCAAATTTACAGTAAAATTTGTGATCATCCATGGGTCAAGTTTTATAGCTATTTTATATTTTTAAATGGCAATAATTTAAAAAATATTTGAACTATGCATCTCATATTCACATACATTCATTTCTCATACATGTGATGGCATATGCCCCAAATTCATTAAAAGCAGAAAAAATTATAATACAAATGATATTTTAGTGCATTTATATGAGGTGGATTGACCACTGACTTCCGTTCACTTCCCTGAAACATACTGTTTATTATAAAAGGTCCTGCTTAGCCCTTTATTATCAATACCTTACTCAGTTTTTGTTATCTTTTTAATAAACTAAGTTTTTCGTATTGTGGAACTACACATCACATACCACAGAACTGTAATTCTATAACAGCTAAAGAATCCATGATTTATGTTAACTGTCTTACAGTGCATACACTTTTTCACCTCACTCTTTTCTTTTGCACTACATGTTTCAGCACTAATGTGCCATCTTCAGGTGCATTTTCTCTATGCACGTCTAACTACTGCATTGCATGCCCTGATGTCTTCATACTGAAATGACTAAAATATATATTCGTCATATATAATAATGATAAATGATACAAAATCCGTCCCAGGTGCAAACAATATATATTATATGTCCTTGATCTTGTTCTCCTCTACACTACATGTTTTGGCCTCTAACGGCCATCATCAGGCGTATACTCTTACGTTACTGCCACACTGAACCCAGTCTAAAATTTAACATTTAAAAAACACATTATTTCTTCGTTATTATCAACATCTACCTCGTTGATATCTGTCTGGCATGTAGATTATTTTGCACACATCAATTTTGGTTTTTCTGTAATAGCACTATAAAATCTTTAGTTATAATTTTAAAATCCTTTAAAAATTTCTCTAAATTTTAAATTTAAAATTTAAAATTGTTAGGGTTACTCGCCCTATGTCTAAGTGCTGCAACGGCTAGTTCTTGTTTCCACACTGTACAGGTGTTATTCTGTGTAGTCTTCCTGTGCGCGTGCCGCTGCTTGTCTTATTCTTATATATAATAATAGATTTTAAATATGATGACTCCTGAAAAGTTTTAATATTTAAAATCTATTATTATATATGATGAATATATATTTTAGTCATTTCAGTATGAAGGCATCAGGGCATGCAATACAGTAGTTAGACGTGCATAGAGAAAACGCACCTGAAGATGGCACATTAGTGCTGAAACATGTAGTGCAAAAGAGAAGAGTAAGGTGAAAAAGTGTATGCACTGTAAGACAGTTAGCATAAATCATGGACATGAGTCAGTGCAACAGGACGCTAAAATATAACATTAGCTAAAGAATCACTTCATCCTCAATTCTTCACTCTGAACTTGCCATAAATACCAATCACAAGATAACTTACCCAGAAGAGCTTGCATAATGTATCCTACATTCTCTGACCAGTCAACAGTAAGGGCTGTATAGACTCCCGGAAAATCTCGCTGCCACATTTTTTGTCCCACTTTCCATATGCAGGCCAGTTCAGCATGTGAATTCTTCACATTTTGCGGAATTCGTTTCCAGAGATACTTTGCATTGCATCTATTGAAAAGAAACAATAGAACTGAAGAACTGTGACTTTAGTTGCAAATTCCTCCTAATATTTATTTCACATAACCTAAAAACGAGTTCATACACTTAACTTATAATTCCCATATGGATGTAATGTAATGTATACTCACAAGTCGTTTTGGTACAAGTATACGGCCAGAAGTTGAGCATATACTTGTGATGTTGGAATGCCACCAGGAGCCTAAAATAAAAATTCGTTCATTACACATGCCATGTCAAATCATACAGCACACCGAAGTATAAAAACTTACATCCAATTCTTGCTTTTCTAAATCTTCTGCAAGTTTTCTAATATTTCCTGTGTCGGTGATCATTTTGACTATTAGCTTTAACACAGAATGGCCTCAATAAATATCGCAACACCAAATTCGTTCACCTTTAGGCCATAATCGATATACACCAAGTTCACAAGTGTACAAATATTCCTGCAGTAAATAGCATGTAACTTTTCAGTCATTTATTTTTCATTTCCCAGGAATTAGAATTTATTCCTCCATCGACCTTTATGAAACCAATCACAAATACATCAGCCCTCAGTATACCGTTTGTCCATGACTTTTAGGTATAAATGATATTTGTATGTTGGTACACATTTTAACATCGATGATCAAATCTGAAAGATGTTCCACCGATTACGCATTTTTACAGATATAGAGAGACCATGGTTAAAAGTTCGATCTATGCTACTAAATAGTTATCCATGACTAGGGACCGGATTTTAATGCAAATGCATATTTCTTTCTTGCAACCAGAAAGTATGCTCGTTTGGATATATGTACGAATTACTTCATTTCTTAAATTTTGGACATGATTTGATGATGATTATAAATGCATATTTTGCATGTTTTATGAATAAGCATCATATTTTCGAAGATCTCTATTTATACTGCATACTTCCCTTTTAAAATGTTTATCATATATATTTTTTAATTTTAGTAAATCGGCTTCGAACCATCTGTTTAAGGCTTCAAATACAATATTTATGTCATTTTTAAAGTTTTCAAATTTAGAGTTCTTAAATATTATACTAGTGTCATCTGCATATAGAATTGATTTAGATTTATTGTTGATGGTTTTAGATAGATCATTTATGTAGAGAAGAAAAAGTAAGGGACCTAAAATTGATCCTTGTGGAACACCGTGCTTTATAATTCCCCAGTTTGAAAATGCATTATGACTGGAGTTTTTATTATTTATTTCAACTCTTTGATACCTGTTTTTGAGGTATGATTTGATCCATTCATTAGCTTTGCCAGTTATTCCATAGAAATTTAATTTCGATAGTAAGATACCATGATTAACACACTCGAAAGCTTTTGCTAGATCACAGAAAATCCCTCCCACAATTAATCTGTCATTGAGAGCACTTAAAATATCGTTAGTTAGTTCATAGGTTGCTTTTTCTGTTGTTAGGTCTTTCCTAAATCCAAACTGCTCTTTGACTAATATGTTGTTAGAATTTAAGTGTTCAAGTAGTCTATTATACATAACTTTTTCAAATACTTTTGAAATCCACTTACATAAATCAGCGTTTATTAACAGTTCACAATCTCTTTGATAATGCTGCCGGAGTTCACACTTATTCACTGTCCTCTTAAATGATCTTTTACTCACTCGACTCACTGACCTCCCGATTGACTCGTTACTGACTCACTTCTACTCACTCACTTCTACTGACTCCCCTCTACTCACTCACTTCTACTGACTCCCCTCTAAATTACCACCACCGCTGCTTTTAAAACCTTCTTACAGCGATCTCGAATTTTCTACTGGGAGGGCTACGTGACCAAGCGCAAGGACCCTTCCGGCTTACACACCTTCTCGAAGCTTCCATCGACAGGTCCTTCACCTCCGCAGGCAAGGACGACAGAAGGGATACCTACCCCCCCANGGACTCACTGACCACCCTTCAGCCCCTCGTAACAAAAGGCCAGCTCAGAGGACATTGATCCCCCCGGAGCATCTTATTTCAACAGCTAAACTGAATCGTTACTTACAAACAAATAAGACATATCTGTCAAGGATGCGTACGGTTACAGCTCTTAAAGTTATATTTACAAACATGACACATTTGACTTGCCTTGCCCATGGATTGCACCGTGTTGCAGAAACAATTCGTGCAAATTTTCCTCTTTTTGACAAGTTGGTGTCTTCTATGAAGAAGGTTTTTGTTAAAGCGCCATACAGAACAGAAGCCTTTAAAGCAGTAGCACCGAGCATTCCACTTCTGCCAGAACCAATTTTAACGCGCTGGGGCACGTGGCTGTGTGCAGCGAATTATTATACCGAACATTAAGAAACATTTAGGAATGTCGTGAATACATTTGATCCCAAAAGTGCAGCGTCAATTCAAATTGCCCAAGACGTATTAAAAAACGCAGAACTAGAAACTAATCTTTCCTATAAATCTGCTCACTTCTCTCATCTTCCATCCGCCATTTCCTCACTGGAGGCAAACAATAGCAATACTACTTTGTATCAGTCGTTAAGTGTGCTCAAAACCACTGTTTCTAAATTGAGTTTTATTCCTGGAAGAGTTGGTGAAGTAGTAAAGGAAAAAGTACACAGCATTCTTTCAAAAAATCCAGGATATGAACATATTTGTGAAATTGATAAAAATTTTTGCCGGTAAACGTACTGAACTGCAAAGTAAAAAATCACTAACAGTGGGGCAAATAGCGGCTTTTGTACATGCGCCCCTAAATTCCTGTGAGGTGGAAAGAAGTTTTTCCCGCTATAAGGACATCTTGCGAGACAATAGGAGGCGACTAACTATGGAAAACCTAGAACATTTAGTAATTGTGAACTGCAACAGAAGGGAAGTTGAAAGTTCGGAGAGCTAAATGTGAGCACCATTGGTTTCTTAAATTTGTAATGAAATATGTTGGCTTTGTTGCATGATTTGTATTTAAGTATAGCTTTTTATTGCAAGTGAATCATTTAGTGATTACATAAAATGAACTTAAATATTGATTTGGTCTTAAAATATTGTAAAATCAATTTTAATATTTGGTATAAATTTTATATGCATATTTTAGTGCATATTTCGGAAGTTTCTCATGCATAAATGCATACATATTTAAAGGATTATTAGGGCATAAAAATGCGGTCCCTATTCATCACTAACTCAAATAAAAACAAAGTACCGAAATCGACTCGATGTATGTGACGATCTCCGACTTAAGCTTACCAGCTACATCCAAATATAGAACAACTGTGCAAGAATCGGCAGGCTCGCCCATCTCATTAATGTGTTCCAATATTTATTTTTTTTTTTTAGCTAATAAGTTAAAGATTATCCAAATTCTAATAGCCTTCAATTATTAAAAAACGAATATGAATTTTCTCCTATTAAATTGCAGCGCCTGCAAAACAAGGTTCTCCGCACCATTGGCAATTTTCCGAGGCGCACACCGGTCCGTGATTTGCTCATGACATTCAAAATCCCGTACGTATATGACTTTATAACAAAATTATGCAGGCAACAAGCAGAAGTCATACAAAATCATGAGAATGAGAATGTTCGCAACATCGTACAAGACGAAGCCCACCACAGAAAGTATAAGAGGCTTAAACTTGGCGGCGGTCAGGCATACGGCCGTTCAAGTGACTAGACTGCCGTGGTAGCGAATAATACTGGAAATAGGGCGTAATCTGCTGTACTGAGCCTGGACTGACAGAGGCTTGTATATATTGTACATAGTATAAGCAAGAAATATGTGTGTATTATAAATCTATGTAAATACAGACAGTGGACGTATTAAAACAGACTGACTGACAAATGACAGACCCGACCTCTCGTCAGAGAGGGCGCCCCACATAGACAAGACAATAACTTTCATTCAAAAGAAATATTTGGTCATGAGCCCCAGCTGGGGCTCGACACCAAGACAGACAGACTGACTGACTGACCGACCGTCAGTTGTAACATGACCTTGACCTTGACCTTGTGTTGACCGAGTAGACAGAATCCATCCAATGGATAAGCAGGACGGAGAGGTACACAATTCTATAGTCTAGTGCAGTCTATTGAGAGTTGTCACCACGTAAAGAGCGACAGTGACTATGTTATAGTTACGTTGAATTTTGGTTGCGGCGTTGAGTAATAAAGTGATGTCACAAGAATACTCCTCGAGATCTTGTTTCATGACACATGTTGAACAATCAGGTATGTAGTTGCTTACAAAAAAATAATATTATTTAGTGAAATTACCAACTGTGTTAGAGGGTTTTCAAAGTTTGTTACCAATTATCTTTAACCCATGACATAAAGACCGCGAAAGTGTGGTGCTAAATAATACGGGAATTCCGATGGCTAAACAGGGAGAGATGAATGCTTGTGCTGTGCGAGTTTAAAACGGGAATTAAAATGTGCTATTCTTGAATTGGAATCGGCTACCGAAATCATTAGGATACTAATGGAGGAGATATTCAGTGATGTTTTAGAGGTTATGAGCAGCTTAAAAGGTGGACTCAGCAAAGAGGGCGAAAATAAAAGTGACTCCTCCCAAGGAAATTGGAAAAATCAGATACACAAGCTAGGAAGCCGGGCAAAGTGAGACTACTGAAGAATGGAAAGTTACGTTTAAGGACAACATTAAGGATCCCCATTCGAGGGGATCTGTAATAATTATAAGTGACTATTTAGGGGCTGGAAAAATTATCTCTCCAATCAAGACGTAGAGGGATATTCTTCTCCTGATGAAATGGAAAGTTGTGTGGAAGTCTCAAGTCAAACAATTTTAAACGTGGACCATTCTTCTTCTGATTAAATGGAAAATTGTGTGGAAGTCTCTAGTCAAACAATTTTAAATTTGGACCATTCTTCTTCTGATGAAATGGAAAATTGTGTGGAAGTCTCTAGTCAATTTTAAACTTGGACCATTCTTCTTCTGATGAAATAGAAAATTGTGTGGAAGTCTCAAGTCAAACAATTTTAAACTTGGAATGTTCTTCTTCTGATGAAATGGAAAGTTGTGTGGAAGTCTCTAGTCAAACAATTTTAAACTTGGACCATTCTTCTTCTGATGAAATGGAAAATTGTGTGGAAGTCTCTAGTCAAACAATTTTAAATTTGGACCATTCTTCTTCTGATGAAATGGAAAATTGTGTGGAAGTCTCTAGTCAAACAATTTTAAACTTGGACCATTCTTCTTCTGATGAAATGGAAAATTGTGTGGAAGTCTCTAGTCAAACAATTTTAAATTTGGACCATTCTTCTTCTGATGAAATGGAAAATTGTGTGGAAGTCTCTAGTCAAACAATTTTAAACTTGGACCATTCTTCTTCTGATGAAATGGAAAATTGTGTGGAAGTCTCTAGTCAAACAATTTTAAATTTGGACCATTCTTCTTCTGATGAAATGGAAAATTGTGTGGAAGTCTCTAGTCAAACAATTTTAAACTTGGACCATTCTTCTTCTGATGAAATGGAAAATTGTGTGGAAGTCTCTAGTCAAACAATTTTAAATTTGGACCATTCTTCTTCTGATGAAATGGAAAATTGTGTGGAAGTCTCTAGTCAAACAATTTTAAACTTGGACCATTCTTCTTCTGATGAAATGGAAAATTGTGTGGAAGTCTCTAGTCAAACAATTTTAAATTTGGACCATTCTTCTTCTGATGAAATGGAAAATTGTGTGGAAGTCTCTAGTCAAACAATTTTAAACTTGGACCATTCTTCTTCTGATGAAATGGCAAGTTGTGTGGAAGTCTCAAGTCAAACAATTTTAAACTTGGACCATTTTTCTTCTGATTAAATGGAAAATTGTGTGGAAGTCTCTAGTCAAACAATTTTAAATTTGGACCATTCTTCTTCTGATGAAACAGAAAATTGTGTGGAAGTCTCTAGTCAAACAATTTTAAACTTGGACCATTCTTCTTCTGATGAAATGGAAAATTGTGGAAGTCTCTAGTCAAACAATTTAAACTTGGACCATTCTTCTTCTGTTGAAATGGAAAATTGTGTGGAAGTCTCAACTCAAACAAGTCTAAATTTGGACCATTCTTCTTCTGATGAAATGGAAAGTTGTGTGGAAGTCTCTAGTCAAACAATTTTAAACTTGGACCATTCTTCTTCTGATGAAATGGAAAATTGTGTGGAAGTCTCTAGTCAAACAATTTTAAACTTGGACCATTCTTCTTCTGATGAAATGGAAAATTGTGTGGAAGTCTCTAGTCAAACAATTCTAACTTTGGACCGTTCTTCTGATTAAATGGAAAATTGTGTGGAAGTCTCTAGTCAAACAATTTTAAATTTGGACCATTCTTCTCGTTAAATTCAATTAATTCTGTAGCTAATAGATCAACTAATAAAATAGGACGAACACCCGTAACAAGAAATGGGGATTTTTTATGGTGACTCAGTCTCCTGGGTCAGTTAGTGATCTTAGGAGTAATGGTTTAGGTAATCTATCAATACTCATAGGCACAGTGCTAATTTTCATCATAATCATTCGAAATTAAATTCTCTGAGCTATGACAGTAAGAGATATAAATTTCATTCTTCTGGTGATAATTCTCTTAATATATATCACCAAAATATCAGGAGCTTACAAGGCAAAACCAATTAATTAATTAGCTCCCTACATCCTGAGCTGTCGCATGTGTTATGTCTAACTGAACACCACTTAAATTATAATGATCTGGGCTGTACTTATGTAGAACATTAAAAATCAGTGCTGCTTATTGTAAGAAAAATTTTAAATTAGGTGAATCATGCATATTTGTACAGGAAAAACTAACATTTTTAGATGTCAATTTAAGTGCCTTTTGTAAAGATAAAGACCTTGAAGTTTGTGCAGTGAAACTTCCTTTTCTGCATGGTAATACTTGTGTACTATCTATTTACAGAGCACCATCTGGTAACTTTGCTTATTTTCTGAAGGGATTAGACACCATTTTAAATTTCTTGCATGATACTAAGTTGGAATTGATAATACGTTGTGATATCAATATAAATTACTTAATTGATAGTATTAACAAGAAACAATTGGATGTTCTGTTATATTCTTTTAACCTTAGTTAGTTAGTTATTGGAGAGGGTGGGTTTCCCCATGCACTGAGACCTGTATTGGTCCATTGTGCTTCCCTCTATGATTTCTACCAGTCTCTATATCCTACCGGTACTGGTGCTTACCATCAGTCCTGCCCAGCCAGCGAGACCAGCCCTACTAGCTGAGAGGTATCTATAATGCTTCCCCCGTCTACCAGAGGTATTAGAGACTGCTGTTGGGCGGGAAACGTCCGTTAATTTGGCTCAGTGACCTCCTTTGGAGATATGAGGTTCTTTTATGTGCCATAAAGCTACGACACTGGACCCACGGCTTAAAGTCCCTCCCGGAGGACTTGTTCCCTGAATTTTTCCGCCCTTAAAAATTCGACGACCTCCGCCGGGTATTTGAACCCGCGTACTACGAGTCATGAGGTGGGAACGTTACCTCTAGACTACGGAGGCCGCTTTCTTTTAACCTTTTTAGTATAGTAGATTTTCCTACTAGGATCCAAACCAACTCAGGCTCTGCTCTTGATAATATTTTTATTGATCTTCACAGACATGGAAATTATACTGTATGTCCTCATGTTAATGGACTGTCTGACCATGATGCCCAGATCTTATATATGAATAACATTGTTTTACATAACCAAAATAGCTGTAGGCATTTTGTGAGGAAATTCAGTAAAGCTTCTAGAAATGAGTTCTTGATTCAATTAAGTTATGAAACTTGGGATAGCATATTTGTTGATCAGGATATTGATTCAATTTTCAACTCATTTCATAATACTTATTTTAAAATATTTAATTTTAGCTTCCCTAAAAAATTAGTTATGAATAATATGAAATATAACCCTTGGATGACGAGGGGCATAAAGACCTCATGTCAACACAAAAGAGAGCTCTATTTGTCCATGAAGACCAGTAATGATCCAAACCTTAAATCATATTTTAAAACTTACTCCAAAATTCTGTCTAATGTCATTAGGGCAGCCAAAAATCATTATTATAATGGATTAATTTCGAATTCTAACAATAAAATTAAAACCACATGGAATATTATTAGAATGGTTACTGGTAAGAGAATCAGTAATACTGAAGTGCAGTTCTTAAATATTGAAGGGAAGCTAACTGATAGGCACCAATTAACTGCCAATTCTTTAAATAACTACTTTCTGACTATAGTAGATAAAATTAACAGCAATAATGCTAAGAGTGATCATTTTATAGAGTTTGATATTGATAAACATTGGAGTTATATATCTCAGGCTTTTCCATCTCCTTTCCCTGAAATTAAATATAAACCTGCATCTGCCAAAGAAATTAAAACATAATTAAATCATTAAAACCCAAAAATTCTAACGGGTATGTTGAAATTTCGGTCAATATTCCAAAAACTAGCGCACCTGCTATTATTTCTCCTTTAACTTATATCTGTAACAGAGTACTTTCAACGGGTGTTTTCCCCACTTGTTTGAAATACTCTGAAATAATACATTATTTAAAAATGGTGATAAAACGAATATGGTGAATTATAGACCTATATCATTACTTACATCCTTTTCAAAAGTTATTGAAAAGGTTATATTTGTAAGATTGCTCCATCACATAAAGGATAATTAATTAATTATCACAATGTTACGGGTTTCCACACTTTACAAACCCTACAACAAAATCTCTTAACACTATCTTCAAGAGTCTTCACGTCTTCACGCGGGAGCTATACAAGTCTCCCTGAATTACACACTCCAAATATAACTGGTTATCACGAACTTGCGAACTGAGAACTCGTTGATAACACACTCGCTCGTAGGCTTGCTAGGACCTAACTCGGAACTGTCTTCGGCGATGGCCACGTTACAACTCACTCGCAGCCGCTGTGCAGTTCCGTTATATAGCCGCAGTACTTGCCTGTTGCGTAATGAGTGCCACGTCATCCTGTTACGTCACTGCGCGTTGCGCGTTACGTTACCGTGCGGAGGGGGGGGAGCGCTGACTCATCCGCCACGTCACTGTGGCCTGAGTTGCCTCGTTGCTGCTGGGTAGGGAGGGGTTCTCCATTGCGCAATATGTCACAGTATGTTAAAAAAGTGGTTGTGTCATGGCAACAGTGCGAGGCCATCTCAAAGCTTCAGTGGTCTGTTGCTTCATCTGTTAGAACCTGGATCTAACTCTTTCAACTGCCATCTTTTGGTCTCTTGAAAGATGCAATCCATAGGAAGAAGTTTCAGGGCGATGAGGAATATATATTGAATACAATGTAGCAATTTATACAGCCCATCATATATACCTGGTGATGGGCCTATGTGGCCGCAAAATGTTGTAAGTACCCATGAAAACATGAACTAAGTGGCGATATAAAGTTGCACGGGGGAAGGTTTCCTCCAAGTAGTTTGGTTTTCTCATTCCACCAGATGCCCCATCTGCTTCTATCATCTGGGGCTGGTACAGTGGTCCAATTAGTGGCAGACATACCAAGTGGACTCAGTCCCATCCCATCTCACCCCATGAAAAAGAAAGTAGGGGCCTGACAAACAGAGTATGAGAATGTTGCATTTACACAGATTTGCTGTACGTAAATATCAGGTGCTCAACTGATGTAACAGGATGCTCAGATTCAGTGTTATACCAGAATAGTAACTGGCTGTTCTACTGCAGGTTTGCAGAATGAGCAGTATTGCCAGCATATCGTCATTTGATGACCTGTTTGGAATCGGTCCATTCCCAATTGGTGATGAAGACACAGTAGCGAATGGTCTGGAGAACTATGCTGACTATGTGGACAGTCAGTCATCTAACATGGAAGATAATAATTTGGTCTGTAGTGCATTAGAGGAAAGGAATCAGTCACCAGTGTATGAAGAGTTGTGTGACTTCACAGTTGTGAGTGATTATTCAGACAGCACCCTACCACCTGCCTGTATAGAGAAGAAGTGTAAGGACAAGAAAATAAAGCTGAAGGAAGAGCAGCTAGATCTGCAGTGTGGATGGCGGGACTGTGATCACCGCACCAGCAATCTTGACCACTTTGTGCGCCATGTCAGCTTCCACTTGCCACACCTAGAGGTCAAACTGAACAAGGATCAGGAAGGTACTGGTTCTGTTGTGTTCCTTAGGATCTTCCCTGCTTCCAGCAGTACATGACAATGTCATTTGTGCAATCATATGCTTGCTCATATCAACTTCTGTTCACTGTTAAAATATTTTAGAAGTATTTAATGGTTTGAAAATAGTAGCAGAAATGTGGAAAATAATGGAGTGAACATTAACGCTTTGCATGCCATGAGGCAATTCAAATGATTAAGATTGCCACAATCAAACAGATAGGCTCAATATCAATCACTTAGTACAGCATTTCTTGTAATAGATGGGATCACATGTGCTGTACTCATGTTTAGAGGAAAAAATAGGCCATGTTGGTGTCTGAATCTGTGTTCATTTGAAGGTGATATCAGGTTTTCTGTGCAACAGCATTTACCCCCAGACACCCTTTGCTTTCCTAGCAGGGAGTTCTGTGGCAGGGCTTGGCACCCAGAGGGTTAGGGATCTGAAGGAGGTATTCATGGCTTCATCAGAAGATCATGTTGACTTGAGCCCATTACAAATAACATTGACCATGCAAACGGTTCTCTATAAAACCTGCACCAGAGAACTCAGAGGTTATTTTTAAAGTAGGTTAGGAATTCCATTAGTAAACGTTCTGTGCTGTATATCTCAGAGCAGAATGGATGCACTCTTGTTATTTTCTGTAGTTGTCAAGGGGAAACATCATGAAATTACAAGAACAAGGGTCATTGCAAGCAACAGATACACTGCATGATAGAAGTAACTTAGAGAGAAACTAGATTTCTTGCTGCTGTGAGCATAGTTGAATGTTCAGCGTCTGTATGAGGTGACAGTATATGTGAAAACAAAACATATTAACCTGAAAATAATCTGGTTCCCTTGAGGACAGTAATAAGATAGAACTGGGTTTGTGTAAGGGGATTGGATTAAGCTGGTTTAATAAGTGGATGTTAATGTTATAGTGAGAAACCATCAGATTCTATAGCGTTCAGAGCTTTAGGAGAGCCAGTTCTTTTGTTGCTCTGAAGACCCTATTCTGATCAAAATCACTTTGGTTCATCTAATCAGAGCCTGTTTCCCTAACAGTTATATCATTTTGGTATACCTGCTCTGTCCTTATCTCCTAAGTTGTTTTTTTTTTGTGTGTGTGTGAAGTTTTAAAGCCAAAATTTTGCATGCAATTTTCCTGTTTTTGTTTTACATGACTCAACTCTTTCAACGTCTTTGGCTGAAACACTGTAACTGTGGTAGGTGGAGAGAACAGTGAAGCTCTTTCTTTTGTAGTTTTCTCAGTTCTGAGCCATGCATCTTACTTAGGCTCCGTTCAGTGGCTTCTCTTCCTACCCCACCTTTTTTTTTCTTTCTTTTTTTTTTTCTCCTCCTTGTGTCTAGAAAGTTCTTCCGTA